TCTTGTCCTTTGTAATATTCTGCTTTTAACCAGAAGGTCTGATCAATGATAATCTGTCTGTGAATATGCAATGGATATTTAAGGCTGCTCAGATTGTATCAAATAGTTTTGATTTTGGCTTGCAAGAGCTTTGGGTGTGTGTGTGTGCGCGTGTGTGTATTCTGCCCAGCATACAGTTTGAGTTGCGTTTGACTTTTTATATGCCACAATCCTTTTTAAAATTAGTGAGGTGCTGTTTGGTATGTAATTCACTGGAGTCTTTTGCATTGTGTTTTCTTACAATGGAATGTGACAGTGTTATTTTTATGTTGTTGTATGAGACCCATGACGGAAGGACCGGTCTGTTCAGTGTCCTCTTACTGTCTGACCAGCATCTCTTATATAGAACCAGCTGAATCTGAACCTCCAGATGACTTTTATATGTTCTCTTTCAGCACGTCTTTTCCGTTCGAGGTCTTTTCCTGATTGATAAGAGAGACCGTTGTGCTTTGCCCAGTTCCCCCTGCTGTGGGGACAGCTCAGTGTAAGATGGCACTCAAAACCACAATTATTTGAATCTGACTGACGCATTGTAAAGTCTTTCTGCTTGTAAAGAGCACGTGCCACTGGAAACTGCTAGAAAATGCCTTTTTTGGGTAAAGTGTGACCAATTAAGATTCCTTCTAGTTACAAGATAAGCATGTGCCAGATGAGAAAATAATTTTTGGTGCTTTGTTCACTGCAGTCCAGTCCTGTCCTGCAAGGGCTGCCAAGAGGTAAAAATATAAATACTAGAAGAAGAAAATATTTTAGGAATTCATGGCTAAGCCCACCAGCTAACATAAGGTTTTTTGCAGTAAGGTCAGAAAAGTCTTCATGAATGTAATGATCTCTGCCCAGAGTGTAATCTGCTACAGGCCTCTTTGTAAACACCTGGAAGCCTGTTTTATGTTTAGTTAGGTGTTTGGCATTTTATTTCATATTTAGCTCTGCATTCTTTCCTCCCTGCTTTGTTTACTGAGTTTTGTTTTAGACTGATGGGTCACAAGAAGAGGGGTTGGTAGGATTAGAGCTGTCTGTTGCTTCTGTTTTCAATCATTAAGGATTTTAAGCTTAAAGAACTAGAAGTACGTCACTAAGGCTACTTTGACAGTGTCTGCATGTTGTTGATAACACTTTATTTTGCTCGGCTGTTTCTTCCGTAAGATCTGGCTGGTAACTGGGGGAAAAAAGCTTAGTTCCTGAGCTTAATGGCATTTTTCCAATACGGTTAAATGAGCAGCCAGCTGAGCACTTAATGTTCCAGTACTGAAACTCTGAAGCTATATTGTGCTGTGGGGAATAGTCTGGTCAGATTTTTTTTTCCATTTTTAATTGTACAAAGTGTTTAAACTTTGTAATCATAACCACCAGTCAAACACCTACGGTCTCATTTAATATGTAGGAAAAGGTTATTTCTGATGTGGTGCTGAAAGTACTATAATATTTAATTTACTTCCCTTAGAGTAACAGGAACTGGACCTGTCTAAGGACATTGTTTAGGTTTTAATAAGCATGAAGCTGGTGATTTAGGCGTTCATGTTAAAAAAAAAAATAGAATGTTGCCTTCTAACCAAAAATGTGATGATATGGAATCTCACAGGCCCGATTTTGCTAAAAAACAAATCAAAACATTTGACCCATTCTAGGAGACTATGAGAACTGCTCACAATCACAGCTATGAAAGAGGGATTTCAAAGTCCTGGAGGTGAGATGATTGTGGAGCAGACCCTCGAGTTAACAAGCTGCAGAGAGTAATTTGATTGGCAGTTCATTTTAAGGCGGTCCTTAGACCAGACGGACTATGACAGCTGGTTTTACTTGGTCATCTTTCAGCAGGTTGTGGATGGGAGTTGCCTGATCCTTTCTGAAACATTCTGGCAGTGGCACCCCTGTTGGGAGGTTAGTTTAGGAATTCTTGCTTCAGGAGTGCATATGCGAGAGGCACTTACCACATCAAATAGAGAGGTAACCCTTCATGAACCATTCTTGCTCCTTTGTCTGCCTGTACAGCACAAATGTTCTGCTGTGCTCGCTTGAGGTGTGACCGGACGTCAGTCTGAGGACGTAGGAGTGGAAGAGCTCGCCTGGCGGAGCAGCTGTGGCCTGTGGGTGTCAGGGTCAGGCTGGGGCTGAGGCAGGCAGGAGAGGTCTTGTGTGGCTGGAGTGGGCTCCAACCTTTTGTCTCCGTGTCACAGGCAGGCGTGAGGAGAGCTGGAGCTGTGTAGAGCATCAGCACTGTGTGTTTGTGTAGGCGAAAGGCAGATGGCTGCACATGTCACCTGTCAGTCAGAACTAAGAGAAATGTGTTTGTGTTTTTTGTTATAATTTATTTTACCCAAGGATAACATAGAGAAGGTGGGGGAGAGATGATTAATCCAGTGATTCAAGTTTATTTCCAGTAATTCTGTTTTACAGGCACTAATATTTAAGTGTCAAGAACAGTTTATAGTTGAATCCCAAGCAAGCCTAGCCTGTGGGTGGGCAACTAGCTCTTTCCCAATGCCTTTTTGACATTTAGCAGGATGCAGTGAGTATTAGAAACTTGTTTTTTATTTTGATGTTACCTGACCTGACAGAGGTAAAG